GGAATTGTGTTGGGACATAAGATCTCTGAACGAGGGATAGAAGTCGACAAGACAAAGATCGAAGTTATGGTTCAGCTGCAGCCACCTAAAACAGTGAAGGACATAAGAAGCTTCCTAGGACATGCTGGGTTCTATAGAAGGTTCATTAAAGATTTCTCGAAGATTGCAAGGCCTCTAACTAGGCTTCTTTGCAAAGAGTAGGAATTCATTTTTGATGACGATTGCCTAAGAGCCTTTGAGGAGTTGAAGAACGCATTGGTATCAACCCCAATTGTGCAAGCCCCAGACTGGAGTCAACCTTTTGAGATCATGTGTGACGCCTCCGACTATGCAGTAGGAGCGGTGTTAGGGCAAAAGATTGATAAGAAGGTCCATGTAATATACTATCCTAGCAAAACATTGGACGAAACCCAAACACGGTATGCAACAACAGAAAAAGAACTTTTAGCGGTTGTTTTCACCTTTGAGAAGTTCAGAAGCTACCTCGTCGGATCTAAAGTAACGGTTTTCACTGATCATGCGGCCCTTCGACACATCTACTCCAAAAAGGACACCAAACCAAGGCTTTTGAGGTGGATTCTTTTACTCCAAGAGTTTGATATGAAAATAGTTGACAAGAAGGGTATCGAAAATGGGGTAGCAGACCACTTGTCTAGAATGAGGATTGAAGACACCATCCCAATAGATGACTCTATGCCTGAAGAAAAGCTTTTGGGGATCGAATTATGGAAAGAAGCAGCAGACACGGTCGCGTCAGGGATCAGAATATCTGCCCTGGTATGCCGACATTGTTAACTATAAAGTTTGTGGTGAAATCCCAGAAGATATGGACCCTTATAGAAAGAGGAAATTCTTACGGGAAGCCAATCACTACTTTTGGGACGAGCCCTACCTTTACAAGAGAGGATCAGATTCTTTATTTAGGCGATGTATAGCGGAGGAGGAGGTACAAGGAGTGCTTGAGCATTGTCATGGGTCCGTTTATGGAGGTCACTTTGCCACCTTCAAAACCGCTCAAAAGGTCCTACAAGCAGGACTGTAGTGGCCAAACTATTCAAAGACGCTCACGAGTTCATCACAAAGTGCGATGCTTGCCGACGAATGAGAAACATTGGAAAACGAAATGAGATGCCCCAAAACCCAATACTAGAAGTTGAAGTTTTCGACGTATGGGGAATAGATTTCATGGGACCATTCAACCCTCCTTCCAATGGTAACACCTACATCTTAGTGGCAGTGGATTATGTCTCAAAATGGGTAGAAGCTCTCGCATGCCCAACCAATGATCACAAGGTCGTCATCAAGATGTTCAAGAGCATAATCTTCCCTAGGTACGGCGTTCCTAGAGCAGTGATCAGCGATGGAGGAACCCACTTCATAAATAAAGTCTTCGATGGGATGTTAAGGAAGTATGGGGTAAAGCATAAAGTATCCACCGCATACCACCCTCAAACCAGTGGCCAGGTCGAAGTCTCTAACAAACAGATAAAGAATATCTTATCTAGAATCGTGGGAACTTCAAGGCGAGATTGGTCTATGAAGCTAGGCGAAACCCTTTGGGCATACAGAACAGCTTACAAAACACCGATAGGAAGGACTCCATTCCAATTGGTCTACGGTAAAGCTTGTCATCTCCCCATGGAAGTTGAATACAAAGCTCTATGGGCAACAAAGCTCCTCAAACTCGACATTGAATCAGCTTAAGAAAAGAGAAGCCTTGATCTGCATGAGCTAGAAGAGATAAATCTTGATGCTTATGAAAGTGCAAAAATCTACAAGGAGCAAACAAAAGCCTTCCACGACAAAAGGATAACAAAGAAGGAACTTAAAGCTGGTGATCAAGCACTAGTCTTTAACTCCAGGCTGAAACTGTTTCCCGGGAAATTGAAATCAAGGTGGTCTGGACCGTTTACAATAAAACAAGTCAGACCTTATGGTGCAATAACCCTG